AAAACAGGGATACAGAATTAACTAGAGGTTGAAGGAACAACCACACGGTGTTGGGCCATGGATTACCGCAAACTTTGCCACACACTTCAACTCAAAAGATGCATGTTTAAATCCATGATTGACTTTCAACATGCCGCCAGAGGCCGCTCTAACATTTGATGACGTCACCTGTAAAATGTTTGTACAGTGCTGCCTAGGCAGACACTCGAATCGTTGAAAGCAAGTTCGCATCTTCTGCCAATTTCAAATAATAAGGTACTTCCGGTTTCGACCGGAAGAAAGGGTCACGTGATTTTGCACTTCATACCAAAAATGAAGACCCTGCAATATTGTATCGGTTGCCATAAAGAACCAAAAACAAATATGTAGCAGTTGATTTTATATTGATTTTCAAAGATTAAATCTAGAAATCTTTGGTTGCTTGTAATATGACACTTGATCACGTCATTGTGACGTCATTACCAGAAACCTCAAGAGCTATATTTACTGTGCTGTATACAGCCAAATCTTGATTATATCTATCACGGTATATTTTCTAACAATTTTTTTAAGGTTTAAAGGTCTTTTTATTGTAACTTCCGGTCTGATGACGTATTCTTTTTTTTTGGCGCACAGGTGTTGTCTGCATTATGGTCATTATGTACATTAATTTTGAAGCGATTACCGCAAACTTCGCCACAGACATCAAGTGAATATGCGTTTTTGACGTTTTTAACCTGCCCTCTAGAGGGCACTCCTACACTTCATGGCATCACCCATCATTTTTTTTGAAAGGTCAATCCAGGCAGACACTTAAATCGTTAAAAGTAAGTTCATATCTTTTTCCACTGTTAAATTATTAGGCACTTCTGGTTTCGACCGGAAGGAAGGGCCACGTGATTTTACGCGCACAGGACTAAAATAAAGATCATGCCGATATTACCATGTCGATTCCCTCAAATTTTAGGTTCCGGTCTCTCACGGTTGATTTTATATGGAATTTCTAAGATTAAATTTGTTAAACTTTCAAGTGACGTCACGTGACCCGTGATGACGTCATGATGACGTAATTGCAAAAAAAACACATCTGCGGTGGATTGGGCATTCATGTATTGACAAATGAAGTTCATATATGTTTCCATTTTTCCAAACAGTTCTGGAGAAGGATTTGCTGAGAATATGCTGACAAAAACAGTAAATTCTTACAAAACCAATATGTGTTGGGCTCAAGGCCCAACACCTAATTAAATTAAAATGTTGATGCAACCTTATAATCGCAGGAACGAAATGTGGGAATGGCGTTGCATAGACACTGATTCCAACACTGTACCAACACGAGCAAGTTCAAACGTCATTGTCAAACGAGCACTACAATAAAGCATATGAGTTGAATTTTTTTTCATAATGTTATGGTGACATGGTCTAAAAATATTATCATTACATTGTAACAACATTTCCGTGAATTGTGCGCGTAACATTATTTTAATGTTAAGGCCTTAAAGTTATTTAATAATGTTATAGCGACACGGTTTTAGTGACATGTTTTTATGGCATTCCTGATAATTGTGCGCGGAACGCTATCTTAACATTAAGGTATTATGTAATAATGTCATAGCGATTTTTTTTTTGATTTTTTTTTATAGTTATGATTTTTCTAGTGGCACTATCATTGTGAATTGATCTGTGTTTTGTATGTATGTATGTATAGTCTTAATTAAGTCATGTAATTTTAATTATGTTTTAATTGATAGATGGCCCATTGAAAATCATCTGTCAGATGACATGGCTACCATCTGTAAATAAGGCTATTATTATTATTATTATTTAACATACCCGATAAAACGTCAAATTTTAGTCATTTTAATTACGTTTTTAAAACATTTTTGTATATGTCATGATGTTTCTATATAGTCATTAAAATGTTATTTTCGAATGTAATGGATATAACATCGGTACGACTTTACAAAAATGTTATCACAGCATTATGAGTTTGCTGGGTGGAGAAGCACGTATAACTGCAGTAAATTAAGTGACTCGGGGTGTAATTGTTATGACAATTTGAAGCATGCGAACTGGATATCAAAAGAGTCACGTTTTTTCTGCAAGGCTTCAGTGTTACAGCTTTGATGACTGTTTATCTTTGATTCGATACAACTTGACTAGTTTTGACAGTACATGAAAGTTCTTTGCTTCCAGGACCTGTTTTCTGGTAGTGTAAGTCTGTAAATTTCTCCATTTTTGTCAAACAATATTATGATGATCTGAGACTGAATGTTAATTGCCCTGGATTTATCAAGCCATTGAAGTTTCCAGTAAATTTAGTCACCAAGATTGAGACGATGTGCGGTTTCATAATTTGAACATTTGTGAGTAGGCTACCTTTACTGTTTTAGCGTGGATTGTGGCCTATTTTTTTAAACAAGACTTTGTTAGTGAACTTAAGAGGCATTAAATTCAAAACAAAACCTTATCTCTTCTATTCCCAACTTTCAAATTTGCATGTAAGTAGGAAATAATCTTGCCATAAAAAAAACTTGTAAAAATCATGTAAAAATCAACTGTAAAAGAACTTGAATTGCCATCTTGAGAATTCCTGATGGTTCAACTTCAAGGCTTCTGCATGTATTGAAGCCAACTTAATTTCATTGATTATGATTATACACATTTTGTTAACAGTGTCAAATAGATACAATTAACGTACAGTATTTGCCAACAATATTTTGATCCACTTTGTCTCTTTTGTAATACATGTTTCCAGATAATCTTTATTGTCAATTAATTGCAAAATATGTATTTGGATATTCATCAAACTAGCTCCCTTGAAGCAACCCACAGATCTCAGCCCGCCTTTTCAAGACCAGTTCAACCTGTTAACGACAGTTTCCAGTTACAGACCAATTCAAAACGACTTAACAGTTGCAAACCAGTTGGCAACAGCTCATGTCAGTTGGAAACCAGTTTGAAACCATGTTCACACCAGTTGAATCAGTTAAACCAGTTAGAAACCAATTAAACCAGTTGAAAACCAGTTAAACCAGTTGCCCAGTTCCTCCCAGTTAAACCAGTTGGAAACCATTTCATACCAGTTAAACCAGTTGAAAACCAGTTAAACCAGTTGCCCAGTTCTTACCAGTTAAACCAGTTGGAAACCGGTTGAAACCAGTTCATACCAGTTAAACCAGCTAGTTGCCCAGTTCATAACAGTTAAACCAGTTCAAAACCAGTTCAAAACCAGTTAAAACCAGTTAAAACCAGTTAAAACCAGTTAAAACCAGATAAAACCAGTTAAAACCAGTTCAACCGGTTTCAACTGGAATTTCCACCCGTATGAACACGAATTCGTTGATCCGCAGCTTCCAGATATTTCCGCCGAGTCGAGCTTGTTTGTATTAGAGTAGAATCTGAAATGTTGTATTGGATTGGAGGGCCAAATTGTTTACTTGGATAAAAAAAATACAACTGTCCGGAAATTAATTTAACGAAGCATTTCAGTTTGGTATTCCATCGGATAATTGTCTTCTTGTAATCGAATGGAATGGATGATTTTATTATGTATGAATTCGGTATATATTATAAAACTTTAGGAAAGACAATTAAACAAAAATAGAATGGACGTTAGCCGTATAAGACACTTGCTCACTCATGAGTAAAGTATATTTGTGACGTTTTGGTAAACCAACGGTTCTGTATTAAATATACATTTATTAAAAGGTAGCCAGTGGACCATCTTCAGCTATTCAAAAAATAACCTACTGTAAATTATTGTTTCTCCTCTGGCATGCTGTCATCTTGTAGAAAATAATAAAATGTCATTTCTAAAGATGAGTCAAGTGACACATTTTCCAGAACGGATTGACTCACCAATGAAAGGACATTGTTCTCGTTTGTCGGTCGCGAGATAAACACACACAAAATGTGAACAAACATCAGCAGGCTTGAGGCGATCTGAAAATCACGTGTACAGAGTATTTGATTTCATGGGCTGGTTATATCTTTTAAAAGGAATGTACAACATTTGCTTTTGCTGCAATTTTCAGAAATAAATGGATTGGAGGATAATGTGTTAGCAAATATTGTTAAAATGACTTGTTTCACGTTTTGGAATTGTAGATGTTGGAAAAACCAAGAAAACCATTCATGTTCTTGTAGTCTGGTTCCCAGACCCCACTTAAGATGAAACGGAGAATGTATAGGTTTTGGGGAATTGTAAGATAAGAGAGTCAGTCTTGTAGGCTTGTACCCCTTCACAGTTGTGCAATCAATTGCAAGGAAAACACGGAATAACTAATTATGAAAAATTAGGAGCAGTTTTGGAGAAAAAAAAGACAGTTTTCTCTAACGCTGGTCGGCCGACCAGCGTTGGAAAAATATCATTTTTTCTTGAAAATGCCAGCACACCAGGAGCCACGATTTACAGGATGCTTTAGACTGTCATTCCCTAACAATCCAGCAAGGTATTTAGTGATAATTTGGTCATTTCGTTTTGTAATGTTTGCAAATGATGTTCAGCACCCCTAGAAATCAAACAGGGTAGATATTTGCCTCACGGCCTTGCGAGGCAGAAAACTTAGCAAAAGTTCACCATACACGGGCATATTGTGTGAGCCATACGTGCTGAGCCAACGGCCTCGGATGACCTTCTTTGCTCAGCACGTAGCTCTCGTGTGCGGCGGGCTTTATAGTACCCGACAAAAAGTCGAATACATTTACGAATCTTTGCACCACATCGTACCAAAGTTGTATCTAGGCTGTGAGGTCAAGTGTACAGCGTAATTTATTGTGTTTTAGTGAATGTTTTTAGTGTTAACTTCAGGAATCAGTATTTCAACAGCACAATTTAAACTAACGTGCATTCATTCTTACGGAATAAAAATTTTAAAAAAGATGCCCCTCACCAGATTGCCGCTTTACGCATGAGGTCTTTTTGTTCTGTCCTGACGCATTTTTTTTATACCATTGAATGGTAGGTCAACACCACTGTGATTGCGATTAAGAATTACTATTTGTCCTTGTCTCGGCAGGGCCTGTTGTCGGAGCACTAAGTCGCTTGCTGGGCAGCCGTCCCATGATGGTGTTTGGTGGACTTCTTACTACGCTAGGCTTCATGTTAACGTCAATATCATCCAACGTTTTCGCTGTGGCTGTTTTTATTGTTGGATTATCAGGTACAATTATATCCCCGGTCAATATCAAGAACAGATGTAATACATTTTTAAATAAATATTGCCAAAGGTTGAAGACTGAGTGGCCAGAAACTACACTCAACCAAAAAAGAAAGTCCCCCTTCCGATACTTTTTTGTCTACTTACTAAAAACTACTGAGCACCTCTTGCTCAAATGACGACTAATCAGTACAGAAATTCCCTAGCAATCCAGTCATTCTCTTTATTTGGCCCCAAATAGTGATTATGTATGCAATGTATGACCAATGATACAGAAAACAGTTGCACTTTTGTATACATTCAAGTTGTGCTTCACACTCACCTTACAAGTATACAAAAAAGCAAGAAAAATTCGGTACTATTTGTCATGAATTGCATAATTTTGCTTACACATTATCGCCGTTTTGGGTCAAACGAAGAGTAATTCTGGATTGCTAAGAATGTTTGTACTGATTAGTTGTAATTTGAGCAAGATGTACCCAGTAGTTTTTGAGTTAGAAAAAATGTGTTAAGGGGGACTTTCTTTCTTGGTTGAGTTGTTGTCCATATTAATCTTAGTGGCTTTCAAAATAAAAAAAATATTACTCCTAACCTAGCTTGCAAGAAAAAAATATTAGGTCTACGATAAAAACCCTTTCACATTAGTTATACGAGCCTGTTGATGATTTCTAGCTACCAGATTGAATTTACTGCAAACATCCTATTGGCCAAGCTCAAGACCAGACACATTTTTGTTCCAGGTATAGGGACTGCATGTAGCACGTTCATCAGCTTAGCACTCACGGCTTCGTACTTCAAGGAAAAATATCCACTTGCCAATGGACTATCAACAATGGGTGGTCCTATTGGGATGATGGCTTACGGACCAGTTACGCAGTTGCTTCTGGGCACCTATGGCTGGAGAGGAACCATGCTCTTAGTGGGAGGTATCTCGTTTCATCTAGTGGCGTGTGCTATGTTGGTGCGACTGGATCCATCTACCTCCTCACCAGACAATGAACAGTACCAAGAGGTTTTGGTAAACGATGAGGACGAAAACCAGTCGGCGGGAGAAGGCAGAGATTGTACTGATGACAACACTGATAACTCAAAGAAGAGTTGCTGCGATCCAGACCATCGACAAAATAGGACTGGAATGTGTTGCCGAAATATTGTGAAAGCAATTGATATGGCTTTGCTGATAGATGTCAGGTTTGTTTTGCTACTTTGTGCGAGATGCACAGTTAATTTTACTTATAGTGCATGGGTGGTTTACATGGTGTCGCACGGGCAGTTTCAGGGCCTGAGTGAAATTCAAGCTTCATTTCTGCCCACTGCGTTCGGTGTTGGCAACGTTATCGGAAAGTTGGTATTGCCACTCCTGCAGCAGATCGGCATTAAACCGTCCATGACATTCTGGGCGTGTTTCGGGGCAGGCATCGTCGGTGTATCGTTCCTCCTTGACGCCTTCATCAGACCTTTCATCGGACAGTTAGCTCTTACTGGATTCGTAGGCGTTGGTTACGGTGTGGTTTTTCAAGCCCTTGACGTCATGGTACGGTTTCTTGTGAGTGATGACCGGTTTGTTAGTGTCCTGGGATGGCAAGGAATGTTCGCTGGCATTGCTGGGACACTCGGTGGATTGATATCAGGTTGGTTCGTTGAACATAATTATGTTTTTAATACAGAGGAGCAGTGCGGTGCACCATCTTAGTTTACATCGATAACTTGTACTTTACATTTTGTTTGCAGAACCTCAGGGGAAAAAACTATATAAAGTCCCGTGTCAGTTTGACTTGATAGCCGAGTCATTGAGAGTGTAAATCCTACCAGCCTAGCGCTGCTTTTCTTTATGCACCCAGGGTCGACTTCGTTGTTTATCGCTCTGGGAATTTTTCTTCTTGCCAACGGGTTTTTGGGTTTTTTTTGACGGGGGTAGGGTGTACAAAGTGCTTTCATCTCTCTACTCTTAACAATGAAATAAATGATCATCATTAAATGAAAAATTGAAACTAAAGTACAAATAAATGTCTTTTTTCACAGGATGGATTTACGAGTGGACGGGAGGTTTCAGCATAGTTCTTTGCGTGTTTGCTGGAGTGACGTTGTTGTCTATTCCCTTCTTCGTTACCGAAGCTCTATACGCCAAGCGAAAGAAACTCTAACATGGATCATGCTATAATTTTTCTCGTCCCTGTTGTATCTGACATGTACGATTCGATTTGTTAATGCTGGATCCACCCTTAATGCCCTTTACCCTAAAAGTGATTGTCAAGCTAAACCAACAGTTGAGAATAGTTTGAGCTCATGTTTATAATGATACTGAAATATTAAAAAGTTCCGAGTTATCAGGAACAATGTAACACATTGGACCCGAAATTTATAACATGATCATGCGTTTGTGTGACAGTTAAGGTGCATGCACGGAAAGCCGATTACAGCCTATTGCGCTCTAGCAGCAGAACGACATCAAGGGTAGAGGGCGCAATCGACGAGACGAATTTGTCATGTCGATAGCGCCCTCTACCGCTGATGTCGTTCGGCTGCATAGCGCACTATAGGCGACCTATATGTAAACGAACACTGTACAAATCCAGTCTTGGACCGAGACTAATTCCACCTTAGCTACAGTCTTCGAATGAATAACTAAAATGGTTCGATTTTAAACGTACTTCAAAACACTTGTAGAGAGGCCTTCAATCGCAACTGTAAAAAGAGATTGCTTTTTTCTTGTCATAAAACCCCGAAGTCAATTTAGCACTTTCGCCTTTGTAACTTTAATGAAAATCCTAGGGTTAACTTTCTCAACAGCAGTTGTCAAAGCTTCCCTAAATCAGAGGATAAAAAAATCAGACATCGATAAACATAAAAATAATTAAAAGTTTTAACCACGATCAGTTTGTCGTAATCAACTTAGTAAAAACAAGAAATTTTACATAGGAATTATAATTTGCATACAGTGTTGTAAGACGAATTTCACGCGAACGTGCACACTACTGTAAATGGGCAATTCCTTGGTTTTGTAACTAATTTTATTTAATTTCCAATGAAAAAAAAATACATATTCCTCACGTTTTTTAATTTGAAGAACACATTTAGACTTATAAAGTGAACTTGTTTCAAAAAAAATTATAATTTGAGTGACCAGTAAATAATCTAAGTGTGCAACATTTTAGTACAACATGTAGTGTAAGTTGTTCACAAGATTCGTATATATGCTAACCGTTCTACCTATTTAACCTCCGCATACACTTCGAGGCCTATTGCTTGACAGCACAAAAAGGAAAATAATGTACCCGATACGGATTCCTCGTTATTATTCACCATTGATGATCTCTGCCAGTCAACTAGACTCTTGGTATCGATAAGTCTAAGTGAAATGTCTATGTAATAAAACGGCAGGAAAGTCTTCCAATTGAAGCGTAGTTAAATTTTAACTAATGGATTTTTCGTGTTAAAAAGATTTTTACTCGAAATACCTCTTCGGTACAATTTGGCGTCTTACTTCGACAAAGATTTCATTAAGATTAAGTTCACGTTAGGCATATAGCTTGCTGAGCAAAATTATTTACCAGGTGTCTTTTTGAGACTGTTTCAATCAATCAATTAATCAATGAATCTTACTTTATTTACCACATAATAATACAGATCAATATGCCAAGAAAATCATAAGATCACAATAATGTGGATGGGGGTCTCTAAAAAGCAAGGCTTGTTGAGTAGTGACCCCACATAAGTAATCAATTAAATTAATTAGTTTATTTAATGTGAGTTACAACAATTACATTACACACATACACAAACCACATACAGATACACCAGACAATTTACTACAAGGGGACATGAACATGACGAGTAACATGACGAGTAAACCCGTTATATGTTATTAATTTAAAAGTAATTATAAGTAATTATTTAGCAAGTGAGCCTTATATTTATGTTTAAATAATGATTGACTGCAAATACTTTTAATGACGCATCCAGCGAATGCCATAATTTCGAAACCTCATGCTTTACTGTCATTGTAGCAAGTTTAGTTCGTGAAACAAAAAAACCGTTGGAATTCAGTACATTGCCTTGTAAACTAGTGATGAATATTTTCATTTCGAGACTCATTGCAAAACAAAATTGTGACTTGGCATTTCTTTGGGAGGAAAGCGTATGAAAATATATGCTCTGGGAACCCGGACCCAGGGGCATTTTATTTTTTGTGTAAATGAAATTGAAATTCTATAAAGTTGCTTCGCATTCTCAGTAAACGTTCATGCAACGATTAAACACAAATATTCCATCGGATTTCCATTTTTTTTCTGAGTATTTTCTGTAAGCAAGGAATAGTTGAAAACAAAGCGTTAATGAATAGGTCAATAAAAGATTTGTTTATCACATTCCAAAAACACTTCTAAATAAAAATCTTCTAAATATTCGTTGTTATAGATTCGATTTTCCGTTTGGCTGGATCTCAAAAATCTTTAAAACAATAACAAGAATATCTTTAAAACAATTACAAGAATATCACTCAATGAAGTAGCCTGTAATTAACACTAATTAAACGATACACAGGAATATATAATTTAGTCAAAAGTCTGTCAGGTATCAAATTTGAGTAAATATTGAGCAAGGAATGTTGGCGTGTAATGATGTGAAATCCAAAAAAATAACTACTCAGAAGCTTCTAAACTACTGCGCGGTAAAACTATGTACTTTGTACTTATCTAATATGATACTTCAGCGTAACATACACATATCAAAGTTCACGAGTCCAATATTTTACTGGAAAGTCGCCTTCACAACAAGAGTCTACGTGAAATCCATGACTGACAATTACTATCCTCATCTGAACTGTTGAAATAAAATTCTCTTGGCAAAAGAGTTTTGGTATTATTAACATACTTGAGATCATGTACATTTCTTGGTTATAACACAAACTTGTCGGCAACAATACTGTTAGAAAAGTGTGAGGAATACATCATTTTACACAAATCACTACAATCCCGTTAGTTGAACAATAGGAACGAAATACTTTTAACCCTCCAATTCCAATGCAATATTATGTAACTGAAATTTGCAAAAAGCAGCTGTTAATTGAGCTGTGAAGAAACCTTTTATATCTATTAAAATGTATCAATACTCTATTTTTTTTATAAGGAAAAAAAGGAAATATCATTTGTATAAATAAATGTGTTGTGGGGTTTGCAATTAAAACTGTTGCAATTATGTCTAATTCTAAGGTTCAAATTCTTCTGAGACATGTATTGTAGATTCTCACTTAATTATGATCATGCTCTGACATTTTCAAACTATGAATTCATGAGGCCAACTGGTCCATAACACTATTAAAAGAAACGGACTGTAGGCTTACAGTATTTCTGCTAACTTACATATTTAGGTCTTCGGTTCAAAAGGTTTGGCTTTCTGCATTCTGTTTCTTGTCTGACATGTGTCAGTTTTGTAGTCGAGACCATCACAAGACCAGACACAAGACCAGCCACAAGTAACAGGGCACGAACAATGACACAGGAATGCCTTTGTTGTAGTTCATTTGAATAGCTTGTGACTTGGACTGAGACTGGAGGTCTTGTGTTGGTCTTGCAGGGTCTCCACTACAACACCGATATGTAGGCAGGAATGCAATTGCTTCATTAAAAATTGATCTCATGTACTATACGCTTCTCGTATAAGCCTATCATTAAAGACCACTTAATGAGAGCAGTTTTGTTATTTAATTCAATGCGTGACAATACCCAAAAACAGGTTTCTGCTCTTGCGTAACTTAGTGGAACAAAGACCTGCATCAGATGTGACGTATTAGGTGCAAGGGGACTTTTGGTTTGACTTTTAACAATCTGGTTACTCTTGTAATATGCCTTCATTAACTCATGGCTATTCACCAATTGCACGTTCCGTATATCACGTTCTGGGTAGATCACTTTGATAAATGCACGTTATGCTCACACGGAAGTGTTGAACCTGGGTCACTGGTTAAACAAAATCCGTCCAATGAGAACCGAAAGAAAATTACCATTGCCCCTTGGATAAGGCAATAGGAACGAGCAAAGTGCAAACATGTCATCCAACACGGTCAACCTTATAATGAATGAAAGATACTACATCGAACGAGAACCAATGGCATGACAGTTACTACTACGAATACATTTAAATGGCTCATTTTATAATCCCTCTTCATTGTTATTCCGGCCCGACCTTGCCTTTATGCAACACGTACCGGATCGAAAAGAAGACTACAAGTATAGCTAGTACACCACCAACAGCAATCGCAGCTATGATGCCCGGATGTAGCCCTGTCTTCTCTACATCTTCTACGTCATTACAAATAGGGAGGTCAGACGACCACTGACCATCCTGAAGACAAGTCAGACTAGAAGACCCTTTCAAAGAAAAGCCATCATCACAAGCCACATCCACAGTGGCATTCACGAGATACACAGTCCCTGACAGCAACCCGTTTTCCACATCACCCGGGTAGCCACAGTTGACAACACAAATAGGGAGTTCAGACGACCATTGACCATCCTGAAGACAAGTCAGGTTAGAAGACCCTTTCAAGGAAAAGCCATCATCACAAGCAACATCCACAGTGGCGTTCATGAGATACACTGATCCTGACAGCATCCCGTTCTCCACATCACCCGGGTAGCCACAGTTGACAACACAAATAGGGAGACCAGACGACCATTGACCATCCTGAAGACAAGTCAGGTTAGAAGACCCTTTCAAGGAAAAGCCATCATCACAAGCAACATCCACAGTGGCGTTCACGAGATACACCGACCCTGACAGCATCCCGTTCTCCACATCACCCGGGTAGCCACAGTTGACAACACAAATAGGGAGGTCAGACGACCACTGACCATCCTGAAGACAAGTTAGGTTAGAAGACCCTTTCAAGGAAAAGCCATCATCACAAGCAACATCCACAGTGGCGTTCACGAGATACACCGACCCTGACAGCATCCCGTTCTCCACATCACCCGGGTAGCCACAGTTGACAACACAAATAGGGAGTTCAGACGACCACTGACCATCCTGCAGACAAGTCAGGTTAGAAGACCCTTTCAAGGAAAAGCCATCATCACAAGCCACATCCACAGTGGCGTTCACGAGGTACACAGACCCTGACAGCATCCCGTTCTCCACATCACCCGGGTAGCCACAGTTGACAACACAAATGGGGAGGTCAGACGACCACTGACCATCCTCAAGACAAGTCAATTTTGAGGACCCTTTCACGGCGAGGCCATCATCACAAACCACATCCACAGTGGCGTTCACGAGATACAGAGACCCAGACAGCATTCCTTTCTCCACATCACCCGGGTAGCCACAACTAACAATCTTGACCAACCCTTTCTGGACTTCACTTATTGTGCTTTCCACCACCAGAGTCTCGTTAGCAAAAGACAGGCTGCCGGTGATCACCGCATCGAAGACACACTCAATGGAGTCGACACACAGGTCCTTGATATCCTGACTCACTTGGTTTAGATGAGGAACCTCGAAGGTCGGAGAAAACTCAGGAAGGTGGTATGTGCTGTAGTCAAATGGGGAAATATAGGTAAATAAAGAGTCTTCTTTAGCCACCAACCACTCCAAACCATACTCGTGAAGTTCTTTCAGTGAAGAACCTGGCTGCATAATGGTTCCGTTTGGGAACTGAAGGTCGTCATCTGGGTTTCCGTTTAGGTTTCCAAGAAGCCCTTGAACCTGACCCTCGAACTTAGCGCCTAGTTCAGCGATGAAAGACATCACCTCTGTATCAATGTACACGGTGACAGCGATGCCAGCACTGAATGCTATGTTGATTTTGGTCAAGACAGAGTTGAAGCGAATTTGAACCCCTCGGAGGCGATGGACTTTGACAGGAATCGAGTCAAGAGGCAACGGCTCACCATCTACAAGAATCAGTGTCTCGTTCATGTTAGACATCTGTACCTGGACTTGGGAGGAATCGTTGGTATGAAGAACGAATGCCGTGTACACAGAGGCTTTGGTGTTGCGGTACCTCTCCATACGGGCTTGGAAGGTCAAGTTATGTACTGCAGATGACGCCATCAGGAATTCCCCGGCTCCGTTAAATGTGAACTTTAAGCCATCCAGACTTGTCAGATGGGGATCCCCGGTGCCCCCAGCTGGTCGAGGTGGGTTGTAGTCAGAACAATCATCGGATGGTCTGTACTTGTAGTATTCCTTACAGTTGTTTGACAGTTTGCATAGGCAAAGCCAAGGAAGAACATCGAACCACTGATGCCAGATTATATTCCAGAACCCACCAGGACCAAACCTGTCGGCTGTTCCTCCTCCAGGAGGGCCTACTAGGATGTTACCGTCTTTTCCGTAACAACACTGTTGGCCTGCTCCATTCGGCAATGAATTAACAGACCGGTAACAGTTCTCAGCAC